ACAGTATCATCAGGGTTCAACTGCAGATAATGGAAACTATTTTAGCTGCTTTAAGCAGAAAATAATTTAATTAGGTGCTTTCAAATCATTGGAAGGGGTAGGTGAAGGACCCCAGGAATGGGTCCCAAAACAGAACTGTAGGTCTGGCTCACTATGGGAATTTCCATATCAGCCAGAATCAGAAAGCTGCTAGGCCATTTGCTCCCTCCAAAATCAACCATCCTACCATGATCTGGGAGTCAAAAAACTGGTGCCAGAACTACAAATTAAGCTCCAGAACTGCATTATGCCCTCTAGAACCACACCAGGAAAAAGAGTTTCCCATGTGGCGCTATGTTATTTTGTCTCACTCAAGTATATCTTTTTTTTTTTTTTTTTTTTTTTTTTAAAAGATGACCGGTAAGGGGATCTTAACCCTTGACTTGGTGTTGTCAGCACCATGCTCACCCAGTGAGCTAACCGGCCATCCCTATATGGGATCCGAACCCGTGGCCTTGGTGTTATTAGCACCGCACTCTACCGAGTGAGCCACGGGCCGGCCCAACTCAAGTATATCTTAACAGAAAAAGTAAAAATCCATCTGGAACTCTAGTTGCAAGCGAGTCAAAGAAATGTACTTTTGAGCTTTCTACTCTCTTCGGAAAATAAAGGCTGACTAGAAAAAGGTTGAAACTGATGTTGATGGAGTCTTACTATGTTATCTATCACAGGGACGGGTGAATGTTTCCCTGCAATAGCTGAGGCATAAAAAGTGAGAAAGAATTAGCTATGTGAAAACTTGGGGGTATACATTCCAGGCAGAGGAGAAACAGTTAGAGGGCTGGAAGTAACAGAGGAGTATTAACCTTAAAAACAGAGGGCAAAAATATAGACACCCCCCCCCCCAAAAAAAAAAACAAGACAATTTCAGGAAACTCATTTTTCATTTAAAACATTATTGTAGTAAGAAGATAGGCTATCACATTCTAGCCTAACCCTCCTCTACACTCATGCAGAGGCTAGGGTCCTCTGGCCAGGAGTTGTGGAATATCCCTTCTCCCACCTGTAAGAAAGTAGGACCAAAGTGACATGTGTATAGAACCAAGCTGAAAAATACAGCATAATCCTAACCACCAATGTGCTCCCATACATTTACCTTAAATACCAAGAGAATCAGAAATAGAGTTTGGACCCTGTATAGGAAGGTCACTGGCAAGATTTAAATGCCACTCACAGTATGACATTTGATTTCAAAGTGAGAAAGCAGTAAAAGGGGCTAGAAACCTGTGGACACGGAGATAAATGACCATAAACTCAAAGAATATTAAACCTTAGAGACTGTCTAATCCAACTTCCTCATTTTACAGGTTTGAAAAAGTGGCAGAGAAGTGCTGAGCATCTTGTTCAGAGTGACAAAGTCAGTGGAAATATTGACACTAGAACCTCCAATAGCAAACATTCCTTTTTAACATATGCTTCACCTTGCTTTTAACTTTCTCTTTTTATGATCATTGTCTAATGCTGAAATGCAGATGTGGTAGCTGATCTAGGATTTTGTTCAGCTCCTCTCAATCAGGTGGTATTTTAGAACAATTGGTTTTGATGTAAGATTGCTGAGCAATTAAAATATTTTTGTAACTCTGACTACTGCTTCCTTTAACTTAGTGAGATTTCACTTCCAGCGTTTGTTTGTTTGTTTGTTTATTTTGTCAAGAATGGTGAAAAGTTATTAGAAAAAGAGTCATTAAAAGGTGACTTAAATAAAGGATTTCCTTTAAAGAGTCAGTGGAGGCAAACTAGTGTCTTTATTAGTTTGAGTAGCAGATACAATTAAAGAACCCAGAAGGATATATATACCACTGAACTGTTTGTCAGATTGAATCTTTAAACCAATAAGCTTTGTCTATTTTTTCATTCCATATTTGGTTAATTTGACACAGATTAAAACTATAGCTCTATAAGAGCTTAACCATATTCAAACTGAGCATTAAAATATCTAAACACTTTTGCCTGAGAATTCACAGGTATTGTTCTCTCGCATAAAGAAACAGGCAGTCTTAGATGGTATTAAATGGTATCATAGATCCAGGGGATTTGAATTGGATTATTCAACCATAGAAATACATACACATTTTTATATTTATAGTAACTTATTGTTTTATATAATCTTTAAAATATGTTATTTCTGCCTTTAAAACTATAATTCAATGTCATATTATCCCCTGAAAAAAATCAAACTCAGAAATCTCACTTTGCAAATTCTAACAAAACCATCACAAAAAGGAGAAGCTGTGAAAATCTGGAATTGTATATACATGTCTCATCCCAGAAATAACACATATTTTATTCCCTGCTATTAGTAAAATATACAGTATTTTGTTTTATGAAATGATAAGTAAAAATTATAGGTAATAATATGTTTTTTTAAAAATCACCTTTATCCCAAGCCTTTCCAAAGCAAACAAAGTTGAATGCTCTTGTGATGGACAAAGAAGCAGATTACAAGCACTTTAAATGATTTCTCACTTTCTCATGACTTGTTAGTAGCTGATCCAAAGAATTCTGAACCTCTGTATCACTGACCACAAGGTGCTCAAGGAAAATGTTTGCACATCCCCACTGGGTCAGCTCAGAAAGTGTGAGTCATGGTGTGACATGACTGAACAAGCAAAAGAAAAGATTCTTTTCTCCCAATAGAGAGAGGTTGGGAATTAGAATGTATAATGGAGGGAAGCACAAGCAGTGTTAGCTGTCTGTATCCTGTAGCTTTTAGAATATCCTTTGTGGAAGGAAAGAACGAAAACTTCCTGCTGTAAGAATAATGATGCCCTAAGGAAAAAACATCTGTTCTCTTGTCAGTGCAATATGCTTAAGTAGAGCAGCTGTTATCTGCTTTGAGTTAAAAGGTGGGCTCATTCCCACCTCCGCACTTCCCAAACTCACTCGAGGTACCGCCCTGTCCCTGATGTTGGAGGTTGGCGTAAACAATTAAGGCTTTTATCTAAACATTTTAAATCCTCCTCTCCTCCTGATTGCTGCCCACGCATTAGCCTGTGGAACTGACTTAACAGAATGCATATTTTCTTGTGAATTTTGGTCTTGGGAAAAATAAACTTCTTAGTTTAGCGTTTGAAGAATATAATATTCTTTGAAAGTTTAAACAAGTCCTGGTATATGTAAGTAAATCCGAAGTCCAAGATGAGCAGGAGAATGTGCAAGTGCCCTCAAATTTGTGGGAAAATCTACACCTCTAGATTGCTCCATAAGAGTTTATTGTTTTGACTTTTTTACTTCACAAAAGATAGAGGTAAAGCAGAGTAGGGACATGTCAGATATAGGAAACCTAAGGAGTTTGGGAACCCAGTTCCAATTTCTTAATTTTTCTTCCCCCTGCCCCACACCAAGTAAAAGCCTCTTTTCAACAGGTTAATCTCTGCCCAGTTTGGCTAAAACAGTTATCAAAGTGCTGACAGGTTAAGTGGACCAGGGGCGGAGGAGTGTGGGTTCCTGAAAATTCTAATGCCCACAGGGGCCCAGCAGGACATCTAGGGGAGAAGCCTAAAGGCCCTGCTCAGTCTGAGGGAGCCAGGGCTCCTTGGCTTTGGCCAGTTTTTGCTTCATGGTAATTGGAGCTCAGTATGGATGGCCTGACTTTTCAAGAGAAGCTGGGAATCCTTTTTGTTGTTAAATTCTCCCAATTTTTAAACAGTAGAACAAATTCAATGACTTTTTAAAACATTCAGTACTAAACAAATTGGAATGCACTTACCAAGTTTGCCAGTTTTCCAACTCAGGTTAATGAGCTTCACTCTCCCAGGAGGCTAGGGACCTTAAAACTGGAACTTATGGAATCAAAATAAGCGAGGGGAATTTTATTCCCTCCTACTCATTTAATAAATATTCATATTAAATATTAAAACTGTATTCATCAGTACAAGTGTAGTCACCTGGGTACAAAAGTGTGTAAGATACAGCTTCACCTGTAGATCCCAGTGTAGTTGAGGAGACAGACAAACAGGAAATTAAGTTATAGTGAACTTACTGTCATTAAGCAAGTATTCCCAGGATAGGCTGGCACCTAGAGGCACTTAACCCTTCTTTGGATGGGAACTGTGCCTTAAAGGAATCCATTAGCTAAAGAGTGGGCACTTTACAGGACAGGTAGGAGATACAGAGGAACATTGATGAAAAAGAATGTTTTGAAGAATTGCAGGTATTTGCTACAATTAAATGATTATGAAACCAAAACCAAGGACATTAATTAAAAAAAAGATCCCCCTCCAAAACCAGCTTCTCAAGGCCCATCCCAGACCTACTGAATCAGAATTCTCAAGTAGAATGTTTTAATAGGCACCCTAGGTGATTCCTGTGACCAGGCCTGGGTGAAGCAAGTGTGCTGGAAGACAAGTTCTGCCAGTCTTCAGAGTAGACATCCTGTCAAATCTGAGTGCAAGATAGCCTGCCTGGGTCTGAGGCTTGGCTCTATTTTTTAATTAGCTGGCTCATCATGGGCAAGCAAATTAACCTCTTTGTGCTTGAGTTCCAGTGAAGCTAGTGTCCACTTCATAAAGTTGTCCTGAGAATTAAATGTAAATGCTTAGAACACTATAATTGTCCTGCTCACCACTTGACTCCCAGCCCATAGTACGGGATGGTTCCAGAATACTCAATGAGTATCTGTTGTGAATAAGACTGGGGAACCAGATCACTGGAGTTCTTAGTGCTTCTCACCACTCCAGGTACAATCTCTCTTCTCTTCCATCTTGCCTACCTGGAACCATATTAAGTTTCCCCATATAACCCCCATGTATAGCTCAGTTTTTTTAAAAAAAAGAACTTACATGTAACTTACATGGCTCAGTTTTTTTTTTTTTAAAGAGTTGCTACTGTACTAAAAGAGTTCTAGTGTATTGTATTAAAAAGAAAAGAAAATGTGCTATTTCCCTATAGCAAAACGAGAAAGCTTTGTGGATCACTACTGCTTTAATTAGCTTTATTTTCTTCTTCCTGCTTTACCTAAGGCTGCCGTGGTACCATCTGCCCAGACCCTTAAAATTACTGACTTCAGCTTCAGTGACTTTGAGCTGTCTGATCTGGACACAGCATTGTGCACAATTCGGATGTTCACTGACCTCAACCTTGTGCAGAACTTCCAGATGAAACATGAGGTAGGAACACAGTGAAGTCCTTTGGAAAAGTGTGTGTGTGTGTAAGAGATAATTCATTTTCAATGCTATGAAAAAGAGCTTTTTAAGTTTCAGAGATTAATATACTGTCATGTAATGTATAACTGAGATTTTTAAAGAAAAATTATTAACCATTAAAAAAACACTTATTGGGCTCCTACCAATGTATCAAGCACCAGGATGAAGAATAAGGGAGAGTGTTCCTCAAAGGGAGAGCAGGATGACAGGAGAGATTGGGGGTGGGGACTGAAGCACTGGTTGAGGGATGAGTGGCAAAAGCAGCAATCAGAGAGGAAGGTAAGTTGCAAATCATGTAGAACCTCATGAGCCATTCAGAGGAACTGGGACTTTATCCTGAAAACAATGGTGAGTCACCGAGGAATTTTAAGCCAGAAAGTAACATGTTCTGATTGCAGAGGTTATGATAACAATGTGCAGGGAAGGACCAAAACAGAGAGGACTTCTTGAGCAATGAGGGAGTAAAGGGGCTCGATGTGAGGCCAAGCTCTTGGTTGGGACATTGTCGCCCATACATAGTAAGACGAAAACTGATTTTAACCCCTGTTGGTTACCTTATACGCCTCTCAGAAAACAGCAAGACAAATCAATGCCTTCTAATAACACTTTGGAGATATCAGGGAATTCTATTTTGTTTCATAGTGGCTATATAGCATCAAAGAATGTGGGAGAACAGAAAGGCCTGTTTGAAAAAAAAATTAAGTAATCTTTCCTTTAAAGTTATTTTTTCTGGTCAGTTGAATATCTAGTCCCGTACAGATTTCCTACCTGGAAATTTACATGTCTTGAAGGCCTCCACTAATTAGTACTCCATTAATTCATACGATGAAAATGTATTAACATATTACTGCGTACTTAGTACTGTGCCAGGTACACACTTCAGCAGTGAAATGTCCCTGCTCTCAAAAGCCTCACAGGAATGAAAACTAAGGGTGAATAGCTAAGGTTAAGTAGCTAAGGTTAACAACAGTGTCATTTATGGTATTACTATAGGCCCAAACCTAGTTCTTGAATTTAACCAAAGTTTATATTAAGCTTTCTTGGGTGAAAACAAAGAACAACTGTCTGTGTACTCTTTCTAATAATACTTTACTCTTATTAGCATGTGTTGATTAAGGGATACCATGTCATTTAATTACTTACTTCAACAAGCTCTCAAGAAAGGCCCTTTGGTTATTATTATCCTCACTTTACACATGAAGAAATTGAGACAGCGTAGTAGAGTAGTAAGATCATGGATTTTGAGTTCTAGCTCTACTAGTGATTAGCTCTTACTCCTTTGGGCAATTAATCTCTCACATTCTTGGTTTCCTCATCTGTTAATTGGAGGTAATGGTACTACTTCCCCCATCAGAGTCTTGTGATAATTACACATGCATCTGTGTAATTTATGTATTTGTATGTGTGTATATGTGTGTACTTGTGTATAATATTCTGCTTACTACAGAGATACAGAGTACATGTCACTTATACCATTCTTATGCCAAATTTGACTATGGTTTTATCACCCACCAAATTTCCCTATTGTAGATTATAAGGTTCATTTTTAAAAGCCTTCTCTATTAACAGAATGAAGATCTCATTTAGAGACAGAAATTCTAAATGTGATCTCAGTTCTCCTTCTTGCTAGTTATAAGACTTTGTCATAAACCTAGGTAGTGGTACAAATCCCTTTCCATTCCTGAGAGCTCCCGTACTTGAATCTAGTAATGATTCTGTTGAAGGGGCTGGGCCAGAACAGAGGAATGTGATTCCTGTACCTTTTAAGAAATTTTCATGTTTATTTCTTATTTGGCTTTTAGATAGCATTTGAGGGTTGGTTAATAACAATAGTCACTCAAAATTTCCTTAGTAATCTTTATTCTTACCTTTATTTGGATTTCTATGCATTAGGAGAATATTTCTCCTCAATGTCTGATTCATCTATCATTCTTTTCTGTTTGAATAACTATTCTTCTAATTGTGGCCAACATCAACTTGAATATCCCAATCATTCTGGTTGGCTTTCTTGCTTCAGTGCCTCTTCTGTTTTATTTCAGATATTTTTATTAGTACAATTTTAAGATGATAAAATTAAAATGTTATTGCTAGAAAGGATGTTAGCATAATGAAGTTGTCCTGACAAAGGCTGTTTCCTATTGAAAGATATATCTTCATGTCTCTGCTTGGCTTTCAAATCTTGGGTTACTCTCCTATAACCATCACAACCAGTGCCTCTTGCTGATCTCAAACAGATTCTTGACTCTACTCATCTGCATGTGCTGCACTTACTTTCACCTTCTATCTTTTATATGTCATTTTTCCTCTGCATTTTGTCTGTATACTTTTCTCTTCTTTAGAGCCTGACTCAAAAATCTCTGTTCATCAGAAAACTCTAGGATCGACCTTATGCAACTTTGATTGCTGTTTGGTAGTTCATAAATTTGTGCTCTCGGTGTTATGTTTACTTATTTCCTTTCCATGTGCACTTTTGTTATTTTCATTAGTGTTTTGTTATTTCATTAGTTTCTTGAAGGCAGGAGCTGAACCGTTTTCTGTTCCTTCTCTTTTTCCAATGGCATCTTGAGTATGCCACTCGGGACTTAGGAAGCTTCTTAAAATTGTTGGAGACTGATTCAGTATATTGAACATGCTGTCTAGAGTCATCTAAACTGCAAAAAACTACTAAATAGTTTTATACAAAATACTGTATTACAAAATTTGAATGTTGCCAGGTATACCCACTGAGAACTTACCAGATATGACCATAATTTTCCTGTATGCTGTTGAGAGGAAACAGAATCTAAAACTGTGCTTAAATCTACTTACTATCTCCTGTATCTACTGGGTTATCTAATTCTATTAGGTCCATATTACTAGAAGTGTAATACAGTAGTACATTGAGAAGTATGTTTCATAGAGTCATTTTAGTCATTTTTTCACATTTCATGGCATATGTGTGCATATTTATATTTAAAAATTTATGATAAGTAAAAAGATATATCCATAGATTAAATTTGTTTTGTCCTGCTTGTTTTCCTTGCTGCTTTAATTAATCACAAGTATTTTTCTACAACATGTCATTGTATAGTTCCAAAACAACAAAGTAAGTTTATAACACTTACTTAAAATGCTCCTCATAAGATTAATCCATTATTTTCCTGACATACTTTATTCAGAAATGATCATGATAAAAGAAGCTGCAGGGTAGTTGGGGTGAACTCATGACAATCCTAGGCACACAGAAATCTTCTCTGTTTGAAATATGGCAACTCAGAGGGTAAAAGGGTTAGGAGACATTAGTATTCGTTGTTATAGAAATCCCTGTGAACTGAGCCATAGAACAGAAACAAAAAGACTTAAAAAAGAAAAGGGAGGGTATGAAAACATTGATTTCCTACCAAATCCTCTGTAAGGAGTTTCTACCAACATGAAGAGAAAGCTTGTTTTTGGCCTACTTCTGTAGCCAGTCATATTGTGTTGAATATTGTCAAAGCAACATTTTTTTCCCTGATACATTTTCCATTCCCCAGGGCAATGCTTTTTGTGTTTGAAGCATCCCCAGTGATATATGCAGGGAGAAGCACATATTTATTTATACAGATTCAGAAAAGCATAGTAAATCATTCAGATTTGAAGAGAGGCAGACACTGATGCTAACACAAACACAGAATAATCATACTTAGGGCCCATGAGTCCCTGGGGATTTTATTTAATACTTGACTTAGAAGTTGAATTAAACCCAACTTATGAGACTTGCTGAAGAGTTTATCCTTTCCCCCCAATCTTTTAAAGTACATTTTTTTCCATATGGACCATATGGCTTTGTTTTGTATATATTACTTTTTTTTTTTTTTTAGTTACTTCTTGGTAACCAAGCAGTAGCTAGCTCTGCCTGATTATTTAAGCATAATTTAAAAGAACAAAGATCTAACAATGGTGTTAGGACTTGCTCCTCCAATTTGTCCTTGGACATGTGCTATATACCTTGCTCCCAGTCCATCCCCAGAGCCTTACACTAATACCTTCGCAGATGTACAAGATGGGAGCATGGGAAAAACTTGAGAATGGCTGCTTTTATGGCTCTCTAAAGATGAATTCACACATTTGTGACTCTTCAGACTCTCCTAATTAATGACACAGGGTCACAGTATCTTTTAAAAAGCTTGTTAGTGCCTTGCCCATGCCAAAAACACCTTTCTTAGAGATGTCTTGCATTTTACATCTAATTTAGTCAGTGTCGTGGTTGGTAACATGGTGGGCTTTGGAATCACACAGCTCAGGTTTGAATTGGCCCCACCCCTTACTAGCAACATGACCTTCAGCAAGTTACCTCTCTGAGTGTCAGTTTCCTCATCTGTAAAATGATCAAAATAGTGGTGCCTTCCCTCAGTTGTGAGGATTAAATGTGAAAGCTTTGAATAGTGCCTGGAACATAATAAATGTGTGATAAATGTTAACAATTATTGTTACCACTTATGCGTTATTTCCTAAAGGTTCTTTGCAGATGGATTTTAAGTGTTAAGAAGAATTATCGGAAGAATGTTGCCTATCATAATTGGAGACATGCCTTTAATACAGCTCAGTGCATGTTTGCTGCACTAAAAGCAGGCAAACTTCAGGTACTTTTTAGAGCTATTCATATATTTAAGACATTTTGTTGCTTAGTAGTAAAATTCACAGTATGTTCTTTCAAGTGTTTTTAATGTGCACTAATGATGATTGAAAATAATATTTACTGCCACTAACATAATAGATTATATTTTGTTAGTTAAAGAGGATTAGTATGGGAAAATACTTAGTTGCTAATTTTCTTTCATGTATATGACATATCAAAAAACCTTTAAAATAACTTCATGTTGCACTTAGTTTTTATTTGCCCAAAGACTATTTTTTGTTAGCAGAAAACACTACAGTATTATGAAAAAGTATTACACTTCTCATGTTAACATTCAACTTGCTCCATAGTAGAATTCCTCAAAAGCCATCTAAGTCCTGAACATAAGTCCAGGGTTCTCTATCACTTTTTCTCTGGAGCACTCAGTTAATTTCATAAGTACTGTTTCATTGAAAGGGCTTTGGTTTCATATACATTGACCAGAAACTGTTTAAAAGAAAGATCAATGCAGAAAACGTTCAAGTAATTCATTCCTTTCCAGGCCAAATTTTATCCATATCTCTGTCCTTAGATTCTAACTTCAATGGAAATCGACTAGTATATTCTAGGTAAGTGATTCCAGGCATCCATCATATAACTGTTCTTAATTCAGAGCTTTCCAGCTCTTTTTTTTTTTAAAAAAAAAAGGTATTCTCTGCCTCTGTTTCCATAAGGTACACATTTTAACTGGCTGAATCTAAAAGAAGTGATTATTGTCCAAGAAGCCATACGAAATGGCATAGTAATATTTTCATGCCATAGCAACAAACATTTATAATAAATACATAAACTTATTTTGGGGGTATGAAAAGGTCAAAAGGATTATCAGCACTGAAAACTATCCTTGTTTTTTTGTGAGGAATAACAAAACGATGGATTTTTGTGTGTTGAGAGTTCCCCCAGAATAGATGATGACTTAACTTGTGTTTTCTTACTAATGAAGGGGAACAGTATTATAGATAATGCAAATGTCAGATAGTCAAAAATAACCTTTATTTGGCTTGGGAGTGCATTATGCAACTTTTTAAAGCCAAATTTTAATTCCTAATCGTCTTTTTTCTATTGTTTTTCTTAATATTCACATTATCCCCATTCCTTAAGGATATAGCAACTGATAGCAGAGACTGAAACAGAATCTGCAGGGAACTAAAAGAGAAAAAACAATTATTTAAAGTTTATTATGATTATTCCACAGACGTATAGATAATTAGGAATTAGTGACATTTTCTGTAGGTGGACAGATTATTAACTTTTTGAGGCATTTCAGCTTTTTCTGTTAAGTGACATTTGTAATAATCCTATTCTGCATAACAAAATACAACTGACTGGCTGTGGAATAGGATTCTAGGGTGAATCCTTTGTGACTATAAATAAGCACATTTGTAAAACACAGAGAAAAGAAGATTACTCAAAATAAGTAGTGTAATGCCCTTTATCAAACTGTATCTTTCTCTTTGTTTCCCCCTATGTTTTTGACCATGCAGAACAAGCTGACTGACTTGGAGATACTTGCACTGCTGATTGCTGCACTAAGCCACGATTTGGATCACCGTGGAGTGAATAATTCTTACATACAGAGGTAAGATGGTTTCCTCAGGAAAACAAGAAAACATTCCCTTTAAAATTGTAGGGCAATATTTTTTAAAGTTAAAGCCACAGCAAAATTTGATGGTACAAAATTTCAGTTGGTCAAGGTCCCATAACATACTCTGGTTTATATTTAAGGGAAATGGAAAAAATAATGCAAGTCTAATATTGTGTTGGTAACATTTCAGGCCTGAAATTCAAAAAATATTTATATTGAGAATCTTACTTTATTAGGTAATTACCAGGAGATTTGCTTTAGTTTATGTACCCAGCTTAAGAGCTTCCTTGGAAAACCATTAAGACAAGTTCAGAAAAGGTAGAATTTCACCCTGGAATAGAAAAGATAATATTTGAAAAGTGCTTAGCTCAGCCCTATGTACTTAGTAAGTGCTCAGTCAGAGGCTTTTGGTCTTAGCAGAGGCAGCATAGTAGCAGTAGCACAGCGTTGGAGAACTTGAGCTATGTGGTCAGACTAGGATTCAAGTCCTAGCTCTACCACACAGTCCCTATGTGGCCTTGAGCAAGGGAGCTAATTTCTCTATACCTTAATTTCCTGATCTGTAAAATGGAGATAATAGCATATTCATCTCATAGAGTTGACACATCAAGACCAAGTAGAGTGCTCAGTATGTATTTAGGTGTTAAATCTTAGCATCTTAGCGGCAGATGCTAGAGTTAGCTGTATCATCAGAAGTCTGCCTGTTGGCTGATTTTGAGAGTAAGATACTAACCCTTAGGACAAGTTTCAGGCTTCTTTAAGGGCTATACTTAAGTGGCATTTGCGATGACAAATGAGATGATAAAGGTGACATCACTTTTCATCAAATTTTTGAGCCATTATGATATGTTTATTTTCTTGCAACAATTTGGTTGGAAAGTCTACATTTGAATGATCAAACCTCTTACTACTGATTTTTTTTAAGTATGTAAGCTATTCAAATAATTAAGGAAATTCCAGATGTCTGATATCTTGAGGGAATTTTAGAAAGCTTTCTAATCACATCCCTTTTATCTAAATAAATGGAAAACTTCATGTAAAAAGAATTGTGGTGATGTAGCAACTGTGTCCTCTGCTGACCTTTGATGGGAAAAGATAGCAAACTCTTGCCTGAGTGTCAGAGTCTGGCTGTTTCCTCTTGAAATCTAATGTTTTGGATAACTGACTGGGGGACATGTTCTTTGTCCCCTGTGCATTGTCAGTGATTATGATCCTGTGCCTCACATAGACATGGAGAGTAATTTTAAAAGGGGACATTGACACGAAAAGATTTATAGTGCAAAGTTTAGCCACATAATGTAGTATGTCCTTCTATAGTCAATATGACCTAAAGATCAGAGTTGGCATGTGCTACGTTCCCCCCCAGACTTAGAACTGAACTTAAGATTATTAGCATGTGGATTATTAGTGTATGACTTGCTCTAAGATGCTATACTGCCTTGCTCTAGAGTGAAAAAAATACGCAGCTATTTTTTTCCTTTGTTTATTCAAAAATAATTACCCTGAAAAACATCTGGAGAAACGTCATCTTCTCTTCAAAAAAAAAAAAAAAAAATCATCCTGGGAAAAAGTCATAGACTGCAGAATCTTGCTTTCACACACACCACAAAGCAGCCTTCAACCAAGTAATAATAACTTTTAAAAAAAAGTTAAAGAGTTTCAGAGATTTTTATTTCTTCCTACATCCCTGTGGTTTGAGAAGAGGAAACCAAGAATTTTCCAGGGATGTTTCTTTTCCTTACTGGTAAATGAGTGATATTCAAAGTAGGGTTTTCTTAGTCAGGGAACTCTTGGGAAAATAAGAATACCATAAATATTTCCATCTAAGGAACCTGTCTTCTAAAAAGGTATACTGTGTCCAGACTTTATCAGATATTCCAAGCTAATATGTAAAGAAAATCAAAACAATAAAAGGCGGTACAGAAATAAGAGTAATACATCAAAAAGAGAAAAAGTGCTCATGTGGGAGCAATATTAGGAACCAAAATTCTCCTCATTCATTCTTGGACATCTTTTCAGAAAATTACTTTGAAGAAAGATATTCCTTGAATAGGAAACTGTCCATTGATTCATTATGTGATTCTTTCATTCTTTCCTTGATTAGGAAGATCACCATTATGGAGCAGTACTACAGACATGCCAATGAAATAGGTGGGGGAAGAGTTCACTGCTCATGCTTACTTCTCCCACATAGGTGGATAAAGGAAAGAGTGATCTCAGACAGATACTGAATTATTATTTTTATAATAGGTAGTAATAGGAACAAAATGGCTGAAGTACAGACATTCACTGTAGAAAATACAATTGTGACACTTGGGCTACATAGAGAAATTTACTTAGGCCTGCAGTCAATATAGGAAGACTGTTGTAGATGCATTATTTGATTAAATTCTAGTTTGGTGTTTATAACATAATATAGTGAAATTATCCTACATTTTAGGCAAAGCAACTACTAGGGCTGTGGCACTTTGCTAGGCAAAAAGAGGGCTACAGAGGTATAAAATGTGGTTCCTGCCTTTAAGGAATTGTCATAGTCTCATGAAATAATAGTGATCAATTCAAGAAAGTATCTAGTGAGCCCTGAATTGTTTAACAACATGGACTGTAAGTGTTCACCAGAGAAGGAGATTGGTAAAGACTGGTGTAGTCTATCTCCACTGTTAATGAAAGAATTGAGACTTAAACTGGATCTTAAAAAGTTAGTAGGATTTGGACAGGAGAAAGAATAAACATATCCCAGGAGCACCATGAGGTGGGCATTGATGATGGCTAGCCTGACTAGAGTCATAAGGCTCATATTGACTAGGAATGAAAAGTAAGAGGATGAATAAGTAGAAATTATAAGACCCTTTCAAGGGAGGGCTATAAAACTAAATAGTGCATTTTAGATTTGATTTAGTGAAAAACAATGAGCCATTGCATAATCTAATAAAGATACTCTTTAGTGAGAAAATCTGAAAGTAAGCTACAAGGTAAATGGGTAGAAATCATAACCACAGTGTTCAACTAGAAAGCTATTACAACAAACCAGGTACAAGCCAAAAATCGCATAGTGGCTAGAGAAAAGAAAAGACTGAAGGAGAAAAAAATTTTTTAAATTTAATATTGGATAGCTAGTTATATGCATGAAGGAACAGGAAAATTCCTGACTTGTAGTCCAAGAAATTGGAACAGCGATGGTGCCACTGATGAAAACAAAAGAGCTGGGAAGTTACGTGTGTTTGTTGGGAAGTAGAGATGGGAAGGATGGAGGATAAAGAAGTTTTGGCAATGAGGAGAAAATAATAAATAGGATGGTAGATAGAAGAGGTAAAATGATATATGAACTTTTTTCAAGATTAGAGATGCAGTAAAAATCAAAAAAAATTTCCTAGTAGCCACATTCAGATGGTGTATATTTGTTTTTTTTTTAAATTGTAAATATGATTCATTACAGTATACAAAAGACATTTGTGAGAAATGTCAGATTTCATTTTTTTTATTGAAACATATTGATTATATACCTATTTGTAAGGTACAGAGTTATATTTTGATACATATATACAATGTGCGATGATCAAATCAGTGTAATTAGTATATTCATCATTACAAAACCTAATCATTTCTTTGTGATGAGGACATCTGATTATGAGAGTTTGGTTAATAGACAAAGAACAGCTGGATAGGAAAAATAAGTTCTATTGGTGTACAATCGAGCTAGGCATCTATAATTCACAGTAATTTACTGCATGTCATCAAATGGCTAGAAGAGAGGACATTGAAGACCAAGTATTTGTCCTGGGAGATCTCATTTGTATCATGTCTTCTCTAGTGTGTAATAGAGGAACAGGAATGAGATGGAGTCATGGACTGGCTTGGTGGTAATAGAGAGTCAGCAGCATCTGAGAGACTTAAAAGGGTACTACATATAGCACAAAACCACAATTTGTGAAGTTCAAACTACTTGTAGGTCTTGAGAGGCTAGAGATCTGAATATGAATAAAGTACAAGTTCAGTTGGTCCTAATGTCGGTAGCAAATAATAATAGAAGCTAACACTTCATATAGCCCTTATCATGAAGCATTTGGAACTCTTTTTAGCACTTTATAGATACTAGTTCATTTAGTCCTTGTACCACCATGCAGTAGCTATGATGGTTATGGTGATTAAGGGTTGACCTGAGTCAGATACCTGGGTTCAGATCCTGACTCCTCTCATGTGGTGACCTTGGGCAAGTCAGTTAACCTGTCTCTCCGTTTCCTTCTCTGTATAATGGAATAATGACAGTACCTATCTCATAGGGTTTTAATAAGGATTAAAGAATACAAATAATTAATTATGAAAAGCTTGGAACAGTACCTGACACATTTTAAATGTTCTACAGTTGTAGGTATTTTCACAGGGTGATGCTATTAATGACAGGAGTTTAAGATCTTGCTTTGTCCTATGGTGAATAAAAGGAGTGGCAAAGATACTATGCCCACTAGCACCTGGTAGCTGTGGAACAAAGAAGCAAGCCCATGTCTATCATTGATGTGAAAAGAGAAAATCAGTAGTGTCAAGGAGGTCAAAGAACCATGAGGACAAAGGTCAAATGAATGAACTTGAGTATTTATGTCACTGAGTATGATTACAGAGAATGGGAAGGAAAAATAACCCCAATTGATAGAAGAAGACAATAGTGAGGATTTGGAGAGAAATGATGAAGTAAATAACTAAATGAGGTTGACATGGTTTACAAACACTAGAGGTTTGAGCCCAGAGTAATACAAGTGGATGAGAAGCAAAATCAAGGATATTGTTACTGTTGGTGAAAAGAGGAAGTCTGGGGTGGCAGTCTTGTTTTTCTCACAGGGTTTTAATTTTCTATTGTTTTCTAAGGCTTTCTATTTCTAGAATATTGGTCTGATTTCTGTGCAGTCATCCTAGTACCACTGACAGAGATGGACCAACAACTGTGCAGGACAGAGGAAAATGTAGAGAAAGCATGCCAGTCCAGAAATGCTTGTTGACATCACTGTGAAAATACAATTCTGCAGCAGTAGTGGTTTAAATGGGTCCTTTGGATGCAACCTCAAATAAAGAGGCAACATAGCCTTATGTCTGAAGGAGTGAAAAGCGACAGGATGTAGAATACATTGGTTTCCATGAATATTTTTGTAAACAGGAAACTTGTGGCATTTGTCACCCGCTTATTGATTCATAAATCAGTATTTTTAGAATGTACGTAAAGACGAACACGATTTGCATTCATCTATCTTACAAGCCAAGAATTTTCTCTAGTGTCCTTTCTGCATCATCTAAAAATGTAACGTGTATTTGAAGTTCCAACTTGTTTGTGTTATATCCACCTAATTGCATTTCCTAGTCCAGCTCCTAACTAGGTCAGGGAGTGGATACTGGGTGCAAAGTGCTGTGGTTTCATGAGACAGTATGATGCAGTGAATAGGATATATTTGAATCCCAGCTCTACCACTTATATCGACCTTGAGCAGGTTAGAAAATCTCTTTGAACCTTTGGTTGTCTAAAAAAAAATGCAAGGGCTGGCCCGGTGGCGCACTAGGTAGAGTGCGGTGCTTGGGAGCGTGGCGGCGCTCCCGCCGAGGGTTCAGATTCCATATAGAGACCGGTCAGCTCACTGGTTGAGCGCGGTGCGGGCGCGACACCGAGGGTTGCGATCCCGTTACCGGTCACGACAAAAGACAAAAAAGAAAAAAAATAAATCAAATGCAAAATGCCAGTTTTAGAGAGGTCTCAGTCTAGGTTACCCAGGAGGCACAGCCTGAGACAGAAGTTGGTGTGCATATAGCTTACTCACCCCAGCGAGCAGGAATGCAAGACTGGAAGTGAAATAGGGAACAAGGGAAAGCCAGTAGAAGGATGAGTTATCCAGATGTTCACCCATCCAGGTGACTAGTTCTCAATCCTGCCAGGTGCTTTTGAGGAGTCTTATGAAATGAGGCCCAGAACTGTTCACCAACAAGATGAAGGGCAGTTATTCATAAGCTCTGCTACCCGTTGGTCAAAGTTGGCCCCACAGGCCTTAATATTTCATATTTCCAGGTTGAACAAGTATGAGTACAGAGAGAGTTCTGTGGGCACTAGCTGTGGTGTCAGAGAGCTTCAGGGCAGAAGTGAGAGGTACTCAGCGTGGGCTAGAACAAAGCACCTTCATCAGTGGCTAACGTTAGAGGTGAGAATGATTATTTTCATGTGATGAATGGAAGTGCTCTGTACAGGGTTACTGTACAAATTAAAGAAACTATGCAGCACAGTGTTGACAATGATAGGCTCTTAGTAAATGGCAATTGTTATCATTAGGGAAAACAAGTATGACCAAATTCAAGAGGTTTACAGTCTAACGGGGTGATAAACACAAATAGCTAACACCTGGCAGAATAAAGTTGAATTTAAAGTAATACTATCTATCCTTGAATTTTGTATATAAATGAAAATAACAGATATTAGAAACTTTTGCTTTTATTCTGTGTGAAGGGGATGAGGAAGGTGGCAATTGTTATGTTAAAGTTGACATTAGCATATCTAGTCTGAGAGATTAGAAAATAGTGTTGCCAAAATAGAGAATACGAAATACAGGGCAGGATTCCAAAAGGAGATCTTTGATTCTGTTTATCCTAAGGCTCTGTTCTTCTCCTTATAGGCCATCTCCCTGTATCATCTCATCTACTCCCATGGGTGGGATTACTGTCTGCATGTTGAGGCATTCCAAATCTTTATCTCCAGCCCAGACCTGAGTTCAGACATTTATATCTACTTGGGCATATCTCAGGCACCTTAAAATCAACAGGTCCAACATTCAATTAGTCATCTTCCCCTTCTTTATTTCCCACCTCTAATCATCTTTTCCCTGTTTTCTATCGTCAGTAAATGAGATCACCATCCTTGTAGCTGCTCAAGGCAGAAACATAGTGTTGATACTTTTTCCCTTCATCTCTTTCATCCCCTCATCACCCTCATCCCACTCTCAATCAGGATTCATTGCCAAGTCCTATCTAATCTACTTCCTAAATAGCTCTCACATAACTGCTTCTCTTCATCTGGGCTGCTTCCACTCTATTCCAGGCTGTCTCCTACTTAAGTTACTAGAAGTTCCCCAGTAGTTTCCTAACTAGCTCCAAATACCCTCTATACATCTCCAGTCTTGTTTCCAGCAAATTCATACTTTTTCACAAATCTGCTTATGGTATCCTATTCATTGTCTTCCCATTTTCCAGTGATGAACACAGTACCTGATTAGCTCAGTACAACTCTTTAAATATGGAAGAAGCAAAGGAGACAAGGTGAAAGTTAATTGGAAAGGTTACAACAACAATATAGGTGACAGTTTAAACAATAGGAATAGGTGAGATTTCCCATTCTTACCTTTTTTTTTTAACTTTACGGTTTTTGTTTTCCCCCAAGCTTCTCTCAATGCCCATTTTTTTCCTACGTTACATTTCTTCAGTCTTGAGTAGCTCCTCTATCCTCAACAAATTAAATGCAAAGGAAAATAATGATTCAAATAGTAGCAATGAAGAAATAACAAATCGACTATTATATAATACATATATGGTGCTTTACAGTTCATAAACCCCTTTCCTACAGGTTTTAGGAACAGAGACGTTCAGAAACTTTTAAAGAAGAAATAGTGAAAATTGTGCTTGATATTCACATGTGAAGGGGTCACAGAAATATGAGGCAGAGGCCTATGCTTGCCCCATACATATAATGAACTGAGTATAATATCCTTGACCCTCTCTTCACTCAGACAAAGGGTCTCTCCTGCTTCCTCAGGTCCAGTTTAGAGAGCTAGCAGAATATCTTGCACTGAAAAAACCTGGATCCCACGTGGGAAACTTTCTGATTCAGGTGTCTCTCTCTCTCTCTCCCTCCCTCCCTCCCTCCCTCCCTTCCTTCATTCCTTCCTTCTGCACTGACTATCCCTCTTTTGCTCACCTTTCATCATTCACACCTCAGTTAATTCCATCTCAATCTGTTCTTTCATTATGCATAGGCACACTTGAATAAGGTGACCTTCAGCCTGAGTATTATTTTAGAGGAAAAGCTAGCATGTGAAATTTGTTTCAGATTTTAAATTGCAATTTTGAAATTGAAAAATATTATTGGTACAACTATGTCAGAGATACTATTATTTTCATGTTTAAAGAAATTAGTCCTTTGTCCTTATTTCTTCTACTATTTCAGTCAATATTAAAACCAATGGGGGCCAGCCCAGTGGCGCACTCGGTAGAGTGCGGCGCTTGGGAGCGTGGTTGCGCTCCCGCTCCCGCTGAGGGTATGGATCCCATATAGAGACCGGTCCGCTCACTGGTTGAGCGCGGTGCGGGCGCGACACTGAGAGTTGCAATCCCATTACTGGTCACGAAAAAAGACAAAAGGAAAAAAAAAAGAAAAACCAATGGAATTTTGTTCATACTTAGAACTGGCAGCAGTTACATTGGTATTTGAAAACAATTGGACTCTTTGTATTTATTTCCCAGAGATTTTGTCACTCTTCTCAGCAGGAGAGAAAATTGTTAGTTTGATTAATTTTGTGAAGTTGCCTCTTTTTTAGTTAACCAATAAGAATAATACTGAATTGATAAACTTACATACTAGGGAAATTGATCATTTTTTTCCCTCAACAAAATATTTTTCAGAAGTGAGCACCCACTTGCTCAGCTCTACTGCCATTCAATCATGGAACACCATCATTTTGACCAGTGCCTGATGATTCTTAATAGTCCAGTAAGTACCTAATTTATTGTTGTGGAATTTTAAAAGAGAGCTTTATAAATTCAGTTTTATTTTTAGGTTTTGGATTTATTCCCAGCATCATAAATTCAAGAACATACTTTATTCCTTTTTGGGTAAGGAAGGCAAAGCCAAAACATTTGAGATCCTCACAGCCTCACTTCTCTAGACAACCAGAACTGTGTAAATGTTGCCTGATAAGGGAATTTAGTTACCCAAATTAGAAACAAACAAAACTGATATTTTGTGGCTTTTGGTTAATTCTGCCCCCCCCCCCTTTTTTTTTTATCAAATTAAGTGGTTTATATAGTTCTATGGTTTGCTTTCACAAATACCTTTCCTTTTTATTGAAACTTCCAATCACACATTATTTTCTTGAGGAATAAAGCAGTTCACCAGCTGTATTAAATGAGTATTTACCAATGTGAGAAAGTGCTATGTTAAACATATTTATGTTAAGGAAAATAAGATTAAAATAATATACATCAGAATGTTAACAGTGGTTGTGTTTGTCTAACGAAATTAATAATACTTTTTCTTTTTTTGGTTTATTCATTATTCATGTTATCTGTTGTATACATGTATTACTTTTATAACAAGAAAAAACGAATGTTGTAACTATTATATTGAACAAGCACAATGCATGGTATATAATCTTAAAGCAAATATATCACTATATCTCTAAGTTTGCCCAGTGAAGCTTGTTCTTCCTTGAGCTCTGGAAGAAGACTCAGGGAGTCCCATGACTTTTCTGGTCACTCTTTTATAAATAAGTTAAAGCTTTCTCATTCCTTTAGGCCCAATATATAGTATATATTTTTCAGTACAGAAAACAAATGTCCAGTCCTGGGTAAGAGTCCAAATTTTGAACTCGATTTAAAGTTTCACATTCTCCCCTTACCAGTTGGCTTCTCTCAAAAACCTTGTGTTTCTTCTAGCTCCTTCCTTACTCCCAAACCTCAGTGTAGTTTCCTATCCCTCCAGACTTGGAGAATGGGAAGGGAGAACAAGTAAGAAGAGGGCCCAGAACATTCTTAACAGACTGGTACTGTTAGGAATGTCTTACTCTTTGTGCCTGATAGGTGTTTAAATTGAGTTCTCTTCTTACAGGTAATCTCATGTTCCCTGCAGAGTGCCCTCACTGTGGAGATATCCCACAATAGCCATAGAGGGGCTAGCCAGCCTGAATCTTAACTTTTAGATTTTTCAGGCAGGAGTCAGACACAAGTCCACTCTAGCCCCACCTCCATCTACTGAACTACATGGACCTCAAGCCCTCTCTTTTACTTGAAATGAAGGGGAACACACTCTCACCTCTGCCTAAACACTTCAGTGTGGGTGAAGGGTTAATGCAACCTGTTACAGCAACCTCCTTAAAGTATGCATATGGTTGGTACAGACTGTTTTGCTACAACATGTGATTGTTCAATATGAATTAGTTCATATGTGATCGGTAAGTAGAATGATGTCAATATACTGTAGAAGCTGTATCATTTTATATACAAGTTCTCTGGGGTAAGAGGTGCTAGAATTGTGGGAGTTGAAGTTGACATCCATCAAGGAAGGAAAAAACCCTCCAGTTGGCTCTGTGCATATACAGCCTTTTCCATTCTATTTTAAGAATATTAAAAGTGGGCACATGTACCTAAGGCTCTCTTCCTTGCTGTGGACTGCTTTGGGCTCTTGGCAGTTTGTTCTTCCTTCAGTGCCCACTTTAATAGCAACTCCACTGTCTCAGTGATCCAATCCCATCTGCTTAGTCTCCGGACCCCCACAAACCAGCATTACACTCGATTGTTTTTGTGCATCTTTAATATCCTCAGAGGCAGTCTGCAGACCTGCCAGACTGGTCTGTCCAAGTTACCTCCAGAGATACCAATTCTTGGTTTGGCTTGTGTTCAGATTGTGTTGTTGCATAGGTTTTGAGTGGTTTGCTCCAACGTTATTTTTCCCATAAACCATGTTATTTTTAGTGGGCAGTTTTTCAGAACTGAGACTTTCCAGGAATGTATATGTCATGGTATAGTAGAAACATCTCTATTTTCCTTGGAATTTGCTATCTATGTGCTTCAGCTAAAACTTGCATTTTAATATCCTATTACAAATTCAGTTCCAAAGAAAGGATATGCTATCCTTTTTTAAAAAGCATATTTCACAGTATTCCTATCATAGTTACCTTAGTTACTAGATAACATAACTTATTATGTAATATGTTATTACTGGGAAAAAAAAACCCCCAGAGGCTTAGAAGTGAGATCTGAAGGCAAAGGATTTGTTATAAAAATAGGGGTAGTGCTGGGTGCACTAGGCTGGTGCCAAACACATTGGTTATAGGATAATTAGATGCTGAAATTGTGGCATGAATTTAATTAATGACAAAATCTGTAATTACAACCATAAACATTATTTTTAAATATGATGTCATTTTTAGATTCTAGGCCAAACAGAAAACTATTCAGGAAATACCTTTTGTTACTTTTATTTATTATAAGATAAAACAATTTCAAGTGGAAAATGAAATGTCTTTTGGTGCTATATTCTTATTTTTCCTCCCAAAAGCAGAGGCTATAATTTCTGTGTAATTGTGTTTACAGAGATAGGATATATATATACATGATATATATATATATATATATATATATATATATATATATATCTTGTCATTTGAGCCAGCCATGTATATATATATCCTATCTCTGTAAACACAATTACACAGAAATTATAGCCTCTGCTTTTGGGAGGAAAAATAAGAATATAGCACCAAAAGACATTTCATTTTCCACTTGAAATTGTTTTATCTTATAATAAATAAAAGTAACAAAAGGTATTTCCTGAATAGTTTTCTGTTTGGCCTAGAATCTAAAAATGACATCATATTTAAAAATAATGTTTATGGTTGTAATTACAGATTTTGTCATTAATTAAATTCATGCCACAATTTCAGCATCTAATTATCCTATAACCAATGTGTTTGGCACCAGCCTAGTGCACCCAGCACTACCCCTATTTTTATAACAAATCCTTTGCCTTCAGATCTCACTTCTAAGCCTCTGGGGGTTTTTTTTTCCCTTGGTCCTGAGATTTAGGAAACATCTGATTCAATTTATAGATGTTGTTCTGAGTATATTCTGAGTGTCCAGGCTGTGTTTTGGTTTTGTTTTTTTTTTTGTCCTTTTTGAGACCGGCCGCACCGCGCTCAGCCAGTGAGCGCTGTGAGCGCACTGGTCATCCCTATATAGGATCCGAACCCGCGGCGGGAGCCCTGCTGTGCTCCCAGTGCCGCACTCTCCCGAGTGCGCCACAGGCTCAGCCCCAGGCTGTGTTTTTTATTAAGTTCAAGATTAAAAAGTCACTATGCTTTAAATTGCAGGCAAGAAATAAAAAATGGTTATGAAACGAAAACTTTGAATGATTTGCACATGGGATAGCCACCTTGAAAATATTCCTTATAGGTGTTTCAACTCATGCTTTCTTTATACCACCATCAATTAAGCACACCTTTGGCTTATGCCCTCTACCCATCTATGAGTATACTGATGTGTTTCTAAGGAATACACACTGTCCTCAATATTGACTAAGTCAAAATTATATAAACTTTAATCAGAAAGGTTACTGGTTTTATTACAAAAGCCATAGAAAAATAACTCTAATAATCAACTGTTTAAAAATTTCACCACTCCATTCTTCACATCCATTATTATGGCTTTGATTTTTCAAAGTTTTACTTGCTGTTAGATTATAGCAATTAATCTGCCCAAAGGAAAAGGATATATAACTATTAGATTTTAAGTCTGGACTAAGACCTAAGGAACATAGGAGTTGGAAAAACATACATTATGTAGGCAGGTATAACATTATGAAGCTGTTTTTTCTGAAATGAGAGGGCAGTGGGAATGGGAGTATTCCCACTTCACATTCATGAGTTCAGAATACTGGGCATGTGTTTAAGATATGTGACTATGTTTTCAGAGTTTATTCATGTCAGCAGCTTCTCTAGTGGAATGCTAATGATGGTTTTCTTTTTTTATAAAGGGGAATCAGATTCTCAGTGGCCTCTCCATTGAAGAATATAAGACCACGTTGAAAATAATCAAGCAAGCTATTTTAGCTACAGACCTAGCACTATACATTAAGTAAGTTTTAAGAAATTCCTGCAGAAATCAGTCTTGGAAGTATTTGCCTCGTTTCACACTTTTAACATCCTCATTGAGAAATGTTTGTATTATAAGGACAAATAAGCTGGCAAAGCTGTTTATCATACTATGGAACAATTTCTTAAAGGTAGCCAGAAAAATCTATTTCTTTGGCTTACTTACTGCTAAAAATTACAGAATACATAGTTATTTCTGAAGTTAATCCACTGCTATGTCTCATTTTAAGAATTGAAATTACCATTATTTGTAATCTGTACTTAAAAATTAAGTGAGGTTTAATGTTTTGCCCAAAGCAAATGATAGAAGGGAGAAAATAAGGTATTAAAGATTTTAAATGATGATTCTTATATTGTGTTCTAAGATGGGAAAAAATTTTTTTTACAAAAAATTTACTCCATGTGTCTTTGTAAACCAAAGGGATAAGATCCTATGGACTCATCATAACTACCAAATATTTTTCTTTATTTTCAAGGAGGCGTGGAGAATTTTTTGAACTTATAAGAAAAAATCAATTCAATTTGGAAGATTCTCATCAAAAGGAGTTATTTTTGTAAGTAGGGTTACTGTCCTTAAAGCTGAAGTTCTTCTAAACAGTTAATTTTCTATCAATTTTTATTGCAATTATTTATTACAACATGATGATCTTAGAGGCTTGTCAGACTTCTCCAGAGTGTTATACAAAGGACTGAATATGAATATTTACTTGAAAAGAAATGCATTTGCAAATTCAAGTGAATAAATTGTTTTTTTGTTCTAGGAGGACTTTAAAATGTTGTAGAGTAAAATAAAAGGCCCTACTGTTCCCTTGTTCATTTTCCTAATTGCTTGGATTGGAGGAGCTGAAAATAGTATCCTAAAGATTGTACGTGTTAGTCTGTTTCTGTTGCTTATAACATAAATACCTGGAACTGGATGATTTATAAAGAAAACAAAAAGTATTGCTTACATTTCCAGATGCTGGGAAGTCCAAAATCCAGGGAACACATCTAGTGAGGGTTTTGGTGGTGGCGGCAGTGACCCAGAGGTCTCACATGGCAGAAAATAGTGTAGCAGAGAGAGAGAGACTAACCTCCTCATTCACTCTCCTTTTAAAGTCCTCAGAACCATGCTCCTGACCACCATTATTAATCCATTCACTACATCATGGTCCTATAATCTAATCACCTCTTCAAGGCCCACCTTTCAATTACCATAATAGGATTTCCCACCTTCTTTACACTGTCACAATGAGGACTAAGTTTGGGGGGGGGGGACATTCAGCCCATGGCACTGTGGTAACAAGATGGCAGCACTACCAGAACTGGAGCACTTAAAGATTTCTGTTTTCATCACCAGTACACCTCTCCCTCCCTTTTCTAGCTGTAGATATCATCTCTTTGCTATTACTACTGTTACCTTTGCCATGGAAAGAACTGGATCAATAAAAACAAAGAGTCTGTAATGAAGAAAAGAAAGACATAGCAGTCATTAGGGATAGTGCCAATACAATTTTGAAATCAACATTTCTTTTTTTTTTTTTTGTCTTTTTCCGTGTCCGGCAACGGATCGCAACACTCAGTGTCGCCCCCGTACCGGACCGGGACCAGCAACAGGATGGCAACCCTCGGTGTTGCCCCCGCGCCTCGCTCAGCCAGTGAGTGGGAACCGGTCTGTATGTGGGATCCGAACCCTCGGCAGGAGCGCCGCCGCGCTTCCCAAGCGGCGCACTATCGCAGTGCGCCACCGGGCCGGCCCCCAACATTTCTTTAAATAGATTAATATTACTTAAACAAAGTATGTGAACAAAGATGCAGATTATAAGAAAACAATACATAAATGCCTGTCTGTCTGTTCTATACAGTCATGCTTCACTTGTCTCACTAGTTCTATACAGACATGTTCTACTTGTCTCATGGACTTCACTAGTCCCAACATGTTTTTAAGAATAGTGCCTTAGAAAATTATAGACATGCTACAGCGATTAGTGAACAATTTTTCTCAATAACAAAAAGGAAGTACAACCTGAACTCCAAGTCTGTGCCAGTTTTCACTGCTCCACTCATCTCATTTGTGACCTGAAAATGGGTTCAAACAGTGATTTAAAATATCTCTGGTATACTCATTTTTGCAAGAGAGTTGGTGTAAAAGATAGAATAGCAGGAGAATTCCATTTTTTTTTTTTTTATGGCCTTGTATAGTTAGGGAGAATATACTTTTAGGTTGGGTTTCACCAGAGAGACAAATGATACTTTACCTTGAGTGCTTCTATATTATAGTAATGGCCTTTTTGCCTATTTCTTCAAACAAATGAAAGGGATTATTATATGGCAGATGTTTGGATCTGACATGGGAAAACAGTACATTAAAGATACAGCTATTTTCTTATAATAGTTGTGGTATTCAGCTCTAGATCATGAAAACCAGCATGACTCCATGAAAATCAGCATGGTTTTCACTTCTCTAACAAGGAAAGAATGAAAGCCACCATACTCTCATTTCTCTCTTTATCTGCCAGAGAAAAAGAAAGTATCTTTAGCAGATACTGCTTAATTATTCAAAGGCTTTTCACATAGAAATCAGTACATGTGTTGACAGAATGAAGATGACCCACCATAATTTCTTATATAGGACTTTTATAAGTAGGATATCTAATGTTACCCTTTAATGATCAATTATTATTACTAGTGTGCTTTCATCATACTATCACTGAGAATGGAATTCCAAGATGAAAAAAATCATAGCAGGCATGTTTTTGCCTAAAGGTTAACAATTTTTCATTGTGCCAGTCAGGAGCTAAATGAGGCAGTTTAAAGACAAATTCTGATAATTCACAGGGTAACCAAAACAATGATACTCTGTTATCCTGGATTAGTCAGGCTTCTATGTGAATTCTGTTTCTATTTCTTTAGTCATTACAAACTGCCATTCCCATACTTTTTTATCAGCAATTATTTACTAAGGATATATTTTCACATAAAAGTAAATAGGAGTTTGGTATTTCTTTTTCCCTTAACAGAGCAATGCTGATGACAGCTTGTGATCTTTCTGCAATTACAAAACCCTGGCCTATTCAACAACGGGTAGGTTGCTTAGTGACGATAAAAGTAATAATCAAAAAGTTGAAATAAGAAGTCTTTACTCTTAAAGGTAGCTTCTGAAGTAAGTATTTATGGAACTTTTTTTTCTAATTTTTAAGTAGTATTAAAAGCAGGTAATTGGACATAAAAAGCTTTCCTTTTTAGAAGATTCATTTGCACTTAACATTTGTAGGATATATTCAGAAAGAGCATGTCTAAATTAACACAGCAAAAACCTAGCCATTGATAAGTTTTAATTTCAGTACTACTTCTGGTTCACTCTGAGATTTTTTTTTTTTTAGCACGTACTTTTAATAATCTTGGAAATTAGAAAAAGCAAAATTATTTTTCTTACGGTTAGCCTATTAGGCTATACTTCAGCACTAAATAGGAATTAACAAGTAGAACCTAAACATTCCTGGGGCTCGTAGTTTTAGGGAATATTCATATTAGATGCCAGGTAGAATCTAATCAAGGCCTATGGCTAAGAGGCTAGAAATAAATCCTCCTGTCTAACTGCCATAACGTTTTGCACAGGCAATAAAGGCTCAGAAAAGCTATGCGTATATTGTATATTTGTTTTTCGGAATTGCATTTTGAATCCGTAATGCACTAAGATTGTTGACGGTCTCTATTGGTCAAGGCTCTGGGCTGCATAGACATGGAACCTAGCAACTACAGGCTTATTTCATGAAACACACATGCTGAGAAAACTAGATCAAAAATTTACTCTATGTGCTAAAGCTGATGTGCCATAAGCACTCAGGAAAAATGATCATTACATACCTTTCTGCTCCATAACAAATAGTACTATGTGCCCATTTCCAAATAGGGAAGAGAATGAAAGAGGGAAGAATTTGTCTTTTCATATATCTTTTCTTTCCTCTGAATCAAACCCTTCTACCTGGTTGTTGTTGTTGTTGTCTTGTGGGGGGTAAATAAAAGAAAAAAAGTTTTAATAAAATAAAAAAGGAAAAATATTGGAAGCTACCAAAGAGAGAGACTTACAAAAGTGGGGAAGAGTATAATGTAATCATCAAAAGAGTGTGCATCGGACATGGACTACTTGCGTTCAAGTATCATGCCACTGCTTATTAGCTCTTATTCTCATGCAAGTTACTTCATCTTTGGACCTCAATTTCCTCATCTATAAAATAGAGATATATACCTCATAAGATTGTTTTGTGGGTTAAATGACAATGCTTGGTTCACAGTAAATGTGTACTACTGCTACTGTCACCACTATGATGTTGATTCTAAAGTCCCAAGGCCACTCTTCTCTCTCACCACAAGCAGCACCATTCACCCTTTGGATTCTTATTCTTTCTTAATATATTTGATCCTATAGCTGAATTCAGAATGATGTGAAGTACTGAAATTACAAACAGTAGTTTCCTTCCATTATGTTAATAGAAATAAGGAGAAAAAAAGTCATATCATTATATTCACAAATATAGCAATGACATTTGTCAAAATGTAATATCCATTCACTTTTTAAAGCAATACTTCGTTAAAAGAATAAAATAATAACTTATTCTAAAAAATAAATAAAATAAAAACTTTGTACTGGAGGTATTTGCCAGTGAAATTAGACAGGTGAAAGCAGTTAAGAATTAGAAAAGAGTTAAAACTATCTCTACTTGTAGATAAAAGTGTTATATATCTGGAAAACCCAAAATAAGGAATGGAAGAACTAAACAATCAAACCAATTAAAAAATATAATGGAAGAGAAGACCCTATTTCTGAAAGGAAAGAGTAAATAAAATTAATAAAAAACCTTCATGTAAACTGAAAAATAATCCAGAAACTTATATGAGAAAAACTAAAAACATAACTACACAAAACTAAACTGAGATAAAGAAAAATAGACACTGTGCTCTTAGACAGAAAAACTCATCAGGCCTTTATGGTATCATTTCTTCCTCCTTACGTTTATTTATAGATTTAATCCAATTACAATAAAAATTACATCAATTTTGGTCTGAAACTAGGTAAACTGATTTCAAAATTTATTTGGGTGGGCACAAAAATACTTAAGGTAATTTTGAAAAGGTAGAGTAGTGAGGTTGAGGTCCAGACATGGAAGTAACACTATAAAGTCTCTATAATTAAAATAGTTTGGTACTGTTGGCAGACCAGTGGAACACAGTAGAAAATCTAGAATTACATAGAACATTTAGTATATAATATAGATAGTATTTCAACTAACCACGGAAAAGATAGACTTTTACTAAATAATGTTGGGATGAATGGGTAACGAGATGGAAAAAAGACAAAACTGGATCTACTCAACATACTTAAATTCCAAATGAAGCATAGAGTTCAATGTAGAGAATTTAGCCATACAAATACTAGATTAAAAACATGAGTGGACTTTTCTGTAATCTAGGAGTGAGAAAACTTTCCTAACTATAGCTCAACACACAGAAACAATAAAGGAAAAACGGATAAACTTGATTCCATAAAAAGAAAAAAAAAATTACACGTCAAAAGGTACCATAAGCAACGTAAAAGACAATGAGAAACTGATAAAAATATTTGCAACGTATATCTGATAGATAGTTAATATTTCTAATATATAAAGAACTTCTAAAAATAGAGAAGAAAAAGCCCAACAATCCTATGGAAAAAAATAGGCCAAAGATTTGAACAGAAAGTTGGTAGAAAAAGAATATGAATGACCTTTGTCCATTTGAAAAGGTTCTCAGAACTTCGATCATAAGAAAAATTACAAATTGAAACTACCCTGACAATTCATATTCTGATTTCATTTATATGAACTTCTACAACAGGCAAAACTAACCTTTGATGAGAGAACTTATAACTTAATGGTTGTGGCTGTGGCAAGAGGAAGAGAAAAGGGACAAAGAATGACCAGGAAGGGGCATGAGGGCACTTTCGGGGGGCAATGGAAATATTCTGTTTCTTGGATGGGGTGCACATTATATGTTTATATGCATTTGTTAATACACCGAATTATATATTTACAATTTATGGAATTCACAATTTGTAAATTCTACTTCATTAAAAAAAATTCACTGAGATACCATTTCTCAACAATCAGATTGGCAAAAATTTTACAACATATGCTGTTGAGGAAGCTGTGGGACAACAAGGAATGCAAAATATTATACCCATTGGAAGTATGTAAATATACATATGTATTTACCATTACGTCTAAGAATCTTATCCCAAAGATATACTGGCAAGAATATAAAAAGATATTAACGTAAGTGTATTCATTTTAGTGCTATTTGTAATAGCAAGACTGGAAATAACCCCAGTATTGATCAGTGACTGAATAAATTACAGTACATTTTACACAATGAGTTCTATGCAAGTGTAAAAAGAAATGAGGATTATCTCTATACTACTGTGGAGTGATTACAAGGAGATATTTTTAAGTGGGAAAAAAAAGCAAGGTAAAGAAAAATGTATATGATATGCTACCATTTATTCAAGAAGGAGTGAAATATGAATATATGTACATATTTGCTTACAGTTTTAAAAAAACAAAGATCAACCACAAAAAAAGTTAATGGTTCCCTACAGAGGAAGGAGAGAATAGGGTCGAGTGAACAGATATAATAAAAGCAAGAGTTCCTTGAGTGTACTTGTTTTGTAGATTTAACTTTGGAACTATGTTAATAATTTTCCTTGTTATTCCTTGTTATAAAATAAAATTGAATAAATAAAAAAGATCACTAAACCTTGAAAGGTAAAATGAAACAAACCTGATTTGGGTTGTAAAACCGTACTGTGAAGGACAAATTCATTCCAAGTGACATTAAAACAGTAATTTGACCATTCATCTCCAGTGGAATGTACCCTAAAAACAAAAAGAACTTCAAAAAAAATTTTTTTTGTTTTAGTAATCATATTATTAGTGGTCACTTTGCATCAATATTTGTCACTATGGTGAGTGATGTGGAATAAAAGCAAATAAATTATATTGGTATTGTTGAGAACTAGGGTTTTCAGCATGAGTGGAAAGATAAAGATCTAAGACAGATGAGGTTATGCAGAAATCCTATACCCCTGGGTTTAAATTGGAAGTATTGCGTGAACTTATGTTGTGTCCTAGTTCTGTCCCCTGAAAGAGCTTAAAAATAGTGATCAACCCAGTAGTAATGAACAAATCCAGTGCTCAGACTGAGATTTCTAAATACCTCAACTTAAAGAAAGGAAGCCTCCATGAAGAAATGGCTGATTCTAGTTCTAGAGAAGGAAATGTACAAGGCGAGCTTTCTATAGCAGAAAGCGAGGAGGCTATCACAGACTAATACGGTCTAAAGGATAGAGGAGCAAACTTCATAAGCTTCTACTGGCCAAAACTGAACACTTTGAGCACCAATAGGGATTGAAATACATTAGATATGTTTAAGTCCAAGAGTTCAAAATAATAATAAAAACAAAACACCTTTGGTGAATGCATGAGAACCAAGTTATTTTTAAAAATGGTAAAGCAGGGGAAAATCAAGCATTTCTCCTGCTTTTCTCATATGAATTACACTTTAGGATAACTAAATGGTGTGGGGAAGTCTCTCTTTATTGTATTTCAACTAATAAAGGAAAAAGGAATGTTACTTTTTAATGTCACTCTTTTGCAGCCCTGAAATTAATCCACTAGGGAAAGATCATGAATGATTGCTGATATCACCAAAAGAGAGGCAACCAGGCATTATATAACCACTGATAGAAGTACACAGCACTGTGTATGAAGTAACCATGGGGAAAAAAAAATTGAATCTCAATCTAATTAAGCCTCTAGATCTCATTACAAGTATATGGAATTGAAGGGAACAGAAAAACATATTAAACATTACAAGAATGCAATCCACAAAATCTAGACTGTGGGAAACTTTGCAGGACAAACAATGCAGTTTATTCATCATCAACAGCAACAAAAAATTGCAAGGAAATTTTTAAAAAGAGAAAAGAGGAGAGCCTGTAGATTAAAAGAAATTTAAAAAGCGCAATATATGGGCCTGTTTGATACTATGTTTTTCACAGTATCTGTTACTAACAGGTGCTTAAATATCTCATGGATTATGCATTCAGATGGTTATGGTTTTCCTAATTGGTGAAGCTGAAATAAAATATTGCCTTTTTTACTTAGTTACAGAAGATTACAAACTAGCCCTGTTGAAATATAGTTTCTATTATTCATTATGACTTTACACTAATTTTACTGATGTTGAAAATTACAGATTTGATAGATTTTCTTACCTTCATTTAAAGTTTGTTTTAAAGAGTGATGACTTTCAGTGACAAAACTCAGTCTGTTATTTATTTCAGATAGCAGAACTTGTAGCAACTGAATTTTTTGATCAAGGAGACAGAGAGAGAAAAGAACTCAACATAGAGCCCACCGTAAGTGTTGAGACCATATTAGAAGGAATTACTCAAATGCTTTTTATTTTTTATTATAGACTCCTTTTTATGCTTCTATGGGATCTTTCCTTAGGAACACAATTTCTCATTTTATTTTTAAAAATTATTCTTATTAGAAGAATTATACATGTTCTTTACAGAAAGAAAAAGCAAATGAAAGAGGACAAAAAAGACTCTTACAGTCATCATATTGTACCACTTTTTTTATAATTTTCTTTTCACACTTAAATATCATAAGATACTTTTCATTCTAACAGATGCCCTTCTATATATTATCCGTCATGATTACAGGAAATAGATGTAACCATAATTTTCCATTTCCTTTGATGTGGTGATGTTTCCAGTGTTCACTATTACAAACAGCACTGTGATGACATCTAGTTGCTAAACTTTTACATGCCGTTCTTCATTATCTTGTTAGGATAGATTTCCAGAATTGCTGTGTTGAAGACCACACAGAATCTAAAGATTTTTGATACATACGGACTTTTTACATAGAGTATGGATCTCAATATAAGAAAAAGATTCTTCTCATACCATCTCTGTATTTTGGGATGAATTTTTCCAGGAAATGAAGCAAGAGGGTCTTCATGGGGAGCATAGGGGACGAAGCTCGGCCACAATTGCTACCTGATCTTCCTAAGCTAACCCACTCTCATCTTTTTAGAGCCAACTTTCATTGCATTCTTTAAATAAATGCAGATCTGTGTGTGTCTGTGTCTGTATTTTCAGGATCTAATGAACAGGGAGAAGAAAAACAAAATCCCAAGTATGCAAGTTGGGTTCATAGACGCCATCTGCTTGCAACTATATGAGGTATTTATATGAAAACTACTCTACTTGCTAAACTTAGACTGTGTTATGAATTAAAACCTAAACCTAATTTGTTGTTCTTTTTTTGTAAACTGAAGAATTAAAACTAGGCATTATTTTTTTATTCTAAATCAAGAAACAAGAAATAAAATTATTATCAATATTTTTTGTTTTACTGATGAGCATGATGTTTGCATTGAACAAGGAACACATTTTATATTTACTATTTTTCAAAAACTTTAATTCATTCAATGTGTAAATACCTATTGAGTGCCTACTATGAGCTAAGTTCCAACAAATTAATTTGGGAGATGTTAAGAAGAATCATATGCCAATGCTACCCTACAGGAAGAATACTGTGCATACTCTATATTAGCATGCTCTTATTTGAGTCTAAATTTTAGCCTAAGTAAGTAAAAATAATTATTCAACTTTTTCTCCCTGTCATAATGTGCCTTTAATATTGTCAAGAAAAATTTTATAAGGATTAAAAGGAGGTGACTAGAAGAATATTATGGGCTCCCATTTTCATACATCTGCTGGCTTGGCTTTTTTTTTTTTTTTTAACAACTGATTGTGCATATCTGTGGGGTACCATGTTGAATATCAATACCTGTGTGCATTATGTGATGCTCAAATCAGGATAATTAGTATGTTGAACATTACACATTGTAATCATTTTTTGTGGCCCTTTCTTAATTTCTTGCTAACCACGCCCCGTCTTCCTACCTCTGGGAAGTTCTGTTACCTCCTTTTGAAATTTCAATAAATTATTATGCTTGTTGTATCTTTCTTTTTTTTCTTAAATGTATTTGTTTATTTTTTAACTCCCACTTATGAGTGAAAACTTGGTATTTCTCTTTCTGTGCCTGGCTTATTTCATTTAACTCCCAGTTCATCCATGTTGCTGCAAATGGCAAAATTTTATTCTTTTTTATGGCAGAATAGTATTCCATTATGTACACATATCACATTTTTTTATCTGGTCATCCATCAATGGACATTTAGGTTGGTTCCAGCTTTTGGCTATTGTAAATAGAACTGCAGTAAACATGGGAGTACAGGTATCCCTTCAACATTATGATTTCCATTCTCTTGGGTATATACCCAGCAGTGGAATTGCTGGATCATATGGCAGTTCTAGCTATAGTTGTTTGAGGAAACTCCATACTGTTTTACATAATGGCTGCACTAATTTACAGTCACATCTACAGTGTAGGAGGGTACTCCTTTCTCTATATCCTTGCCAGCATTTGTCATTCCCTGTCTTTTTCATAATGGCCAGTCTAACTGGGGTAAGATAATATCCCAACAGGCTTTTGATTTGCCTTTCCCTGATGATTAGGGATGTTGAGCATTTTTTCATGTGTCTGTTGGCCATTTGTGTATTTCCCTTTGAGAAATACCTATACACCTCCTTTGCCCAATTTTTACTCAGGTTACTTGTTTTCTTACTGTTAACTTGTTTGAATTTGTTGTATATTCTGGATATTAACTGCTTGTCAGATGCATAGTTTGCAAAATGTTTTCTCCATTTTGTAGGTTGTTTTTTCCCCTGTGTTGTTTCCTTTTTAGTTTGATATAATCTGATTTGTTTATTTTTTCTTTCATTGCTTGTCATTTTGGGATCTTATTCATAAAGTCTTTACCCAGTCCTACTTCCTGAAGTGTTTCCCCTGTATTTTCTTTTAGGAGATTTATAGTTTTAGGTTTTGTATTTACATCTTTAATACATTTTGAGTTCATTTTGGTATATGGGGAGAGGTATGGGTGTAATTTCATTCTTCTGCATATGGATGACCAGTTTTCCCAGCACCATTTCTTAAAGAGCCAGTCTTTTCCCCAATGTATGTTCTTGTTGCTTTTATCAAAGATCAGCTGACTTTAAGTATGTGGGTTGATTTCTGGGTTCTCTATTCTGTTCCATTGTTCCAGGTGTCTATTTTTATGCCAATACCATGCTGTTTTGGTTACTACAGCTTTGTAATATTATTTGAAGTCAGGTAGTGTTATGCCTCCAGCTTTAATTTTTTTTTGGCTGAGGATTGCTTTGACTATTCAGGGTCTTTTGTTATTCCATGTGAATGTTAGGATCGTTTTTTCAATTTCTGTGAAAAAAGTTATTGGTATGTAGGTGGGGATTGCATTGAATCTGTAGACCACTTTGGGTAGTATGGACATTTTCACAATTTAATTCTTCCAGTTCAAGAGCATGGAATGTCTTTCCATCTTTTTGTGTCCTCTAATTTCTTTCAGCAGTGATTTGTAGCTCTCATTCTAGAGATATTTCACTTCCTTGGTTAAATTGATTTCTAGGTATTTTATTTTTTGGTGACTATTGTAAATGCACTTTCTTAATTTCTTTTTGTGCTATTTTGTTTTTGGAGTATAAGAATGCTATTGATTTTTGCATGTTGATTTTGTATCCTGCAACTTCACTGAAATCATTTATCAGTTCAAAGAGTTTTTTTGTAGAGTCTTCATGTTCTTCTATATATAGGACATGTCATCTGCAAACAGGGACAGTTTGACTTTGTCTTTCCCAGTCTGTTTGCTCTTTATTTCTTTCTTTTGCTTGATTACACTGGCTAGTACTTCCAATACTTGTTAAACAGGAATGGTGAGAATGGGCATCCTTGTCTTCGTGTTCCATTCAGGATGATATTGGCGGTGGGTTTGTCATATATGGCTTTTATTGTGTTGAGATACTTCCTTCTATACCTAATTTTCTGAGAATCTTTATCATGAAGGGATGTTGAATTTTGTCTAATGATTTTTCTATGTCTACTGAGATAATCATATGGTTTTTATCCTTGATTTTGTTGATGTGGTTTATTGACTTGCATATGTTGAATCATCCTTGCATTCCTGGGATGAATCCCATTTCATCATGGTGTATAATTTTTTTGATGTTTTGCTGTATTCCATTTGCCAGTATTTTGTTGAGGATTTTTGTGTTTGTGTCCAGCAGAGATATTGTTCTTTAGTTTTCTTTTTTTTCTGGTATCTCTGTCCAGTTTTCATATCAGGGTGATGCTGGCCTCATAGAATGAGTTTGGGAGAATGGCCTCTGTTTCAATTTTTTGGAATAGTTTGAAGAGAATTGGTATTCATTCCTCTTTAAAGGTTTGGTATAAATCAGCAGTAAAGCCATCTAGTCCTGAGGTTTTCTTTGTTGGGAGACTGCTGCTTACTGCTTCTGTCTTGTTGCTTGTTATTAGTCTGTTCAGGTTTTCTGTTTCTTCTCAGTTCAGTTTTGGTAGTTTGTATGTGTGCAGAAATTTATCCATTTCTCCAGGTTTTCAAATTTGTCAGCATGTAGTTGTTTATAATAGTTTCTAATGATCTTTTTTATTTCTGTGGAATCAATTGTAATGTCTCCTTTTTCATTTCTGCTTTTTTTTTTTATTTTGCACGTTATTGTAGTTAGCCTAGCTAAATGGTTTGTCTACTTTGCTTATCTTCTCAAAGAAACAAATTTTTATTTCATTGATCTTTTGAATCATTTTTTGGGTCTCTATTTCACTTAGTTCTGCTCTGATCTTAATTATTTCTCTCTGTCTAAACTAATTTTAGGTTTGGAATGTCCTTATTTTTCTAGTCCTTTGAAGTGTAGCATTAGGTTATTTGAAATCTTTCTATTCTTTTGTTGTAAACGTTTATTGCAATAAAATTCTCTCTTAGTACCGCTTTTGCAGTATCCCACAGGTTTTGATATGGTGTTCTTTATTTTCATTTGTTTCAAGGAATTTCTTTATTCCCTCTTTAATTTTTTCTTTGACCTATAGGTCATTCAGGAGCACGTTGTTTAATTTCCATGTGTTTGTGTAGTTTGCAGAGTTTCACTTGTTACTGATTTCTTGTTTTAATCTGGTGTGGTCTGAAAAGATACTTGAAATGATATGCATTTTTAAAATTTTGTTGAGACTTGATTTGTGACCTAATATGTGGTCTGTCCAGGGGAATGTTCCATGTGCTGATGAGAAGAATGTGTATTGTGAAGTTGTTGCATGAAAAGTTCTGTAGATATCTGCCAAGTCCAGTTGGTCTAAAGCGTAGTTTAAATCCTGTGTTTCTCTGTTGTGTTGTTGCTTAGATGATTGTCCAGTACTGAGAGATGGGTCTTCAGGTCCCCAAATGTTATCATATTGGGGTGTCTTTCTCTTTAGGTCTAATAATGTTTGCTTTATATATCTGGGTGCTCCAGTGTTGAGTGCATATATATATTTGTAATTGTTATGTCTTCTTGCTGGGAGATTCCTTTATCATTATATCATGGTCTTCTCTATGGTTTTTTGGTTTAAAGTCTACTTTATCTGATATAAGAATAGCTACTCTTGTTTGTTTTGGGTTTTCATTTGCATGGCATATCTTTTTCCATCCTTTCACTATTATTAGTGTGTGTCTTTACAATTGAGGTGAGTCTTGTAGACAGCATATAGATGGGTGTAGCTGTTTAATCCAGTCAGTCAATCTGTGTTTTTTGAGTGGGGAATTTAACCCATTTACATTTAGGGTTGTTATTGAAAGGTATTATCTTACTCCTGGCATTTTATCAATTTTCGTTTGGATGTTTTAAATATCTTTTGTTACTTTCTTCCCTTTTGTCTTTCTTCTTTTATTTGTCTTTCTTTCCCTTTTATTCATATGTCTTTGGTGTTTGTTGGGTTTCTTGAGGAGGTAAGATATAGTTTTATTTCTCTTTCTCATTTGTATTTTTTTTCCTACTAGTGTGTTTTGTTCTTTCTTGTATATTCTTGGTAGTGATTATTGTTGTTTTGGATCTCAGATTCAGGACTCCCATGAGGACTTTTTATAGGGCTGGTCGTGTGATGGTGAACTCCCATAATTTTGTTTATGTTTCTGGGAAATACAGTGTTTCTCCCTCATTTCTGAAGGATAACCTTGCTGGGTATAGTTTTCTTGGCAGGCAGTTTTTTTTCTTTTAGTATTTTGGATATATTATTGCATTCTCTTCAGTCCCTTGAGAAGTCTGCTGTTAGCCTTATGGGGACTCCCTTATGGGTGACTTGACACTTTTTCTTGCTGTTTTTAAGATTCTCTCTTTATCTTTGAGCTTTGCCAGTCTTACTATAGTGTTTCTCAAAGAGGACCTTTTTAAACTGAATCTATTTGGAGATTTTTGAGCCTCCTGGATTTGAAGGTGTGTGTCTCTCCCTATACCCAGGAAATTTTCTGTTATTATTTTATTGAATATGTTTTCAATTCCTTTTCCTTTCTCCTCCCCTCTGGAACACCCATGATTCACATGTTGTGTGCTTAAGGTTGTCTGCTAGCTCTCTTAGATTTTCATTTTTTGTTATTCTTTGTTTTTTGTTTTTGTTTTTGTCCACCTTTATTTCAAAAAGACTGTCTTCCCAAAGTCAGAAATTATTTCTTCTGCTTGCTCTAGCCTACTGTTTACACTCCTTGTCTTTTTTATTTTATCAAATAAATCCTTCAGCTCCAGAAGTTCTGCTATATTCTTTTTTAAAGTATTAATCTCTTTATAATGTCTTCCTTCAGACCCTGGATATTTTTTCTCATTTCATTGTGTTATCTGAGTCTTCATGTATCTCACTGAGTTTATTTAAAGATTGTTACTTGGAATTCCTTTTCAGTAATTTCAAGGGTTTCCTGCTCTATGTGGTGTGGTACTCCAGAATTATTGTATTCCCTTAATGGTGTCGTATTTATTTTTTGTGTTTTGGGGTTTTGTTTTTGTTTTTGTTTTTTGTATTTCTAGTATCTCTATGTTGATGTTTGGTCATCTCGTAGATCAGTTGCTGCTTCTATTAGTCTGGTGTAGGCTTTGAGGAGAGAGACTTCCCCTCCCATAGACTTTTTTTGTTGTTGAGTATGGGTTTTAGTTTTGGTTCCAGGTAGATGTGGTAATGTAGTCTCCATGTGGGTACTTCAGCCATATTCATTGTTGAAATTGCACGTGAGTGCCTCTGTGGCCTATTCACTGGGGTGCTTAGTGATTCCTTGCAGACGTTAGTGACACTATGTAGGTTCATTGAGACTGTGGGTGAGCTCTCATGTTCTTGGGAGAAACACCTGGGTGCCCTGTCACTCTTTGGCTGGGGTAGGTGACCCTGGGTGAGCTTCTTGGCACACCAGCTAGTGTCCTGTGACCCTGATATGTGTACTCTGGTATATTGGCACTCCTCAGTTTGAATGGGTGAACCTGGGTGGGTTTTCTCTTTCCTCTTTCCTCCAGGCAGGGGCTCCTCCTGGGACCTTTTTTCTCCCAATTGGGGGATGGGTTAGTGGTTATTGGGAATTTTCTTCCTTACTCTATTTGGGTATCCTGGGTTTCTGTGCGCTCGATTGGTCCTGCGTGTGTCTGTCCCTGGCTCAAGGCAGTCTTGTGATTGCACACATATGTCTCACCCCCAGGTGTGCTACCACGTGTGGCAGTATAATTGCCCCTTCAGTTGTGCCACTCAGTTGCAGGTGTGTGTTCACTCCTCTTTCCCCAGGCCTCACCGGTGTCTCTCCTTCTGTCGATGCCATCACATGGTCAGTGGGCCACCTATAAGGCAGTGGTGGCTGCTGCTATGGTATCAAGCTGCCTTTGTGGCAGCAGTTGCTATGACGCTGGCTGTGGTGAAACACCTGTGTGGCACCAGTTTCTGTGGCAGTGGTGGGGGAACTGTTGCTGTCAGTTGGGTGGGCAAAGGCCTCCTGTGGGCAGCAAGGTCACCAGGCATGCTGCTGCCATCAGTCTGGTGGGCAAGCAGGGGTGCTTACCTGTTTATTTTTTAAAATAGATTCTGCCTCAAACATCCAATTTACTAGTTTAGATGTTTATGACCCAAGTACAGAAAATAAATGTAGTTGGTTTTAAAAGTTTAAACAGGAAACTATTTAAGGAGTTATCATAAAATGTCATACCAGGAAAAAACCCTAGAAATTTTCTAATCCATACATTTCACAGATTCAGTAATTGAATTTGTAAAGTTCATCATTCAGGCAGATAGACTATTTGCTTCAAATAGGTAGTTAGTGGGAGAACTGCACCTAGAGTCCAGTTCTCATCCCTCATCTGGGGTTCTAGTCACCAAAAGAATTTAATAAAGAAGTTGTGGCTGATGAGGAAAGGACAGGAGAGACACCAAAAGGAACACAGAGGAAAAAAGAAAGTCAGGTGTTATGCCCCTGCACCACTGTCTCCATCCTTTTCAGCATTCTACTTGTTTACTCCTGTGTTTACAAGTTCTTCCTCAGATGTATGTTCAGAGCAGTATTTCAAACACCCTTGAACATCTCATTCTTTCAATAACAGATACCTTTCTTATTGATTGGATTAAGAGTTTTTCAGTTGAAAATAGTAAAGGCTCTTTTGATTTTTTCCCCATCTCTGTAAATAAACTCAAAATAGTAAGCAGAACACATTATAGATTTTATACTTCTACATTTCATGTATATGTAAGGATTTATTTTATTTTAGTCTGCTATTGAAAACTCTGTGATATTTATTGATATGTATTTTTACTGTTATTTATTACTGAAGTAGTATATTCTCATTATAGAAAAATTAGAGAACACTGAGAAGCAAAAAGGAAGATAAAACCACTTATAATCCCACAACCCAGAGATAACTACTATTAAAATATTAGTGTACAGCTGACCAGTGAACAACATGAAGGCTTCCTGTGCAGTCGAAAATTCATGTATAACTTTTTACTCCTAGCCTACTGTTGGCCAGAAGCCTTAACAATAACATTAACAATCAATTAACACATATTTTGTATGTTATATGTATTATACATGGTATTCTTACAATGAAGTAAGCTAGAGAAGAGAAAATATTAAGAAAATCATAAGGAAGAGAAAATACATTTTAAAAACATTTTAATATGTTGAAAAAAAACCAGTTATAGGTGGACCAGTGCAGTTCAAACCCATGTTTTCAAGGGTCAACCGTATATCTTTATGAAATTTTTATATTCTTTTCATTTAACAAAAATTGCTTTTTGCAATCCATAATGTATCATAATCTTTCTTTCAGTGTCAAATGTGCTTCTGTGTGACATTTTTAATGACCACAAAATAACACAATATGCCTAACCCTGTTGTTAGGTATTTAAGTCATTTTCAATGTTTCTCTATTATGAAGAAATCTGCAATGAGCATTTTTATAGCTAAATATTATGGCAATATAGTTGGTAAACAATTCCACAATGAATTATAAATTAATCTGTCATAAAAATCTGTTTAAAAATTGATATGATAAAGTATGTAATATATAAGTAGATATAAAATAGATATGATAAAATATGTAAAATGTGATAAAAATCTGTTTAAGTACATTGTATATAACCATTCTATAGAAAAATGCAAAAGCTAAGCAGCTCCTAATGGAGTTATACTTAGGGAGAGCCATCTGCCCCACCTAAAAATGTATTGTTTCCCTGAAAAGTGATTCCACACAGATCTGTCTCCATAGTTCATTGATGTTATTTTGTAATGTGTGTGTTTGCTCTGTCTCTTAGCATGTACTCCTTATCTGTATAACTTAAGGAGAATTGTTTGTAAAATGATCTATGTGTTCATGTAGCTTGTGAAAACCCCAACAGCAGGTCTGCTCATGAAATGAGTGTGGGATGTGGTCTTTTGTGGCCGGCCTGTGAGAGAGGGCTTATTTCCTGACTTCCTTCTAGTTATTTGCTTTGTTTTTCTTTCCTTAGGCCTTGACCCATGTATCAGAGGACTGTTTCCCTTTGCTGGATGGCTGCAGAAAGAACAGGCAAAAATGGCAGGCCCTTGCAGAACAGCAGGAGAAGATGTTGATTAATGGGGAAAGCAGCCAGGCCAAGCGGAACTGAGTGGCCTATTTCATGCAGAGCTGAAGTTTGCCGAGATGGTGTATTCTGCAGTATGTGTAGTTTTGCTATACACTGTACAGATGTGGTGTATACTTTGCCACTGCTGCATTTTTATTTTTGCACAACTTTTGAGAGCATAATAGCATGATGTTTTTAGAGGACTATTACAAATTCTGTTTATTTGTTTTATGCCACTGAACTGATACAATCAACACCCTCTCTTAGCACACTGATAAGAGCCCTGTTTGTGATATTTTGTGTACTGCAGAGAACAAGTAGCATTCTTGCACTGAGGTTGTTTTTTGCTTGGGGATTTTAAATAATTGGTTTTGTATTTTCTGAATTACCATGCTTTGAGGAATCTTTCCTTTCTCAAAAGTAGGATAGGAGCAAATTGAATATCATCTGTGACATTTGAAGCCTTCATAGGATAGAAAAAAAATATTGGCTGAGTGGATTTTAAGGAGAAAAAGTGTATTTGTCAACAACATCTTAAAAAGATAAGGTACTTTGAAACAAATGGAAAATACTATGAGGCAATACTGTAAAGAAAACATTACAAGTATTTTATTTGCTGTTTTTGTGAGAACAGGCAAGAGAGAACTTTCTCATTTCAGTGCAGTACATTTATCCAAAGGCTATCCATAAAATCACTTCAATCTAACCTATCTGATATAAAGCGAGGGAAACCTTAGAAGATCCAGTCACTGATTTTGTTGGAAAGGTCAGTGTAATCCAGAAATAGAATGTCCATGGACATCTATGAGCAAAGAGAAATGTTCTGTTGGAATAGATCCTTCAGAGTCAGTGTTTTGAATATTGAACTTCCTTTTAAAAATAATTTTCTCATCTTTTACCTCCTTACCAACCACGGTTTGTAAGTCAACAGCTTAAATCTCAACAGGAAAGTGAGAAAAAAGTGATAATTAGACCATTTACCTGAAGTGTGATATGACTATAGATAGGAGAGTAAAAAATGAATCTTTTTTTCCTCTGTCAAGTGAAGTATAGAGAAAAGTTTTAATTATATAAACAGCAAAAGGCTATCCCCAATATTGGGGTCAAAAATGAATTTGAGGGATCAATAAGGTAAGAAACCTTATGCCTGAATAAGCAGCATTGCAATTAAGAAACTGCCATATTTTGGTTTATAGGACAGGTCAACCCACAGTCACCAAAGTTTGGGTGTGTACCCTAAACACTGGCCCTTAGCTTGTTAGTCGGTGGTATTTCCTTTCCATAGCTTTTAGTACAGTTAACATTTTCTTGGAATTTGAGACCACTGTAATTGGCATTGTAATATTCAGCACTGGAGAAGTAGATAATGAATTGAGCAACTGGTTTAGGAAAGGAAGATCTGTTCCAAATATCCAGAAAGGTTTAGGTTTGGAGCGAGTAGGAAGACAGAGATTTGTTTGATTTGTTAACTTGCACACACACCCTTCTCCAAAAAAGGTGTTTGATCTCAGTTTCTATCACTAATTTGGATAGAAAATCTCTTGGGTATATAGTATTCTCAAAGACCTTTCACTAAAAACTTGTTTTCCATTCATGTCCTTTTTCACCTAAACTTTGCCTAAAATTCAACATGTTTGTTAGGTTTTTAAAATTCTGAGTGTGTATATACTCGTATATTTTGACATAATGTGGCTTTATTCTTAACATTCAGGTGAACAAAGCAAAACGAATTGTATTGCCATTACTTTGTATTGGTAAAAGCTAAATTAGCAAGTATCAACTGTTTAATGCTGTATGTATTATTATAATACTTGTATTTCCAGAATATTATTTTATTTTTATGTCATTCAGATGAAATCTATAAGGATGCCTCTTGGTGGCAATGGTGTATAAATTACACAGGCTGTCACTAAAATAATAGGTTTATCTATATCCTGGTACACACCTATGCATGCGTACATAATTCCTTAGTATAGAAAAACTGTTGAAAGAACAGCAGTCTTTAATATACCTATCTTTTTATCACACACATTGTGATTTAGCACTTATGCTAAAATATGTAGTCATATAATTTAGTAGTTTAGACCCCTCTAATGTATGTCACTGAGAATTTGTTTAAAGACATGGTAGATTGTGCGTGGAGGATGTGTTATGTGTGACATTTTAACCAACAAGAAGATATATTTAGATTATAAGTTGTTTGTTTGGTTTGCTTTTAGATAATGGTTTATTTACTTTACTAGTTAAGACATTAAATGAAGTTGGGCAGTGCCGTGCTTATTTTATTTTATTGTTGGATGTTTTAGTTCATACAGAAGATTACTTCTTTAAGACTGGTTAACTGATTCAAACAGTTTTTAATTTTTAGGAAATTTTAATCCATGTATCATTCCATATATGGGTTAATATCTGTGGTACATGGGCACAAATCAAAGTTTTTGTTGTTCTGTGAATATTTCCTTTCCAGGATCTTCTCAAGTTGAAAAAAATACATATGGTCCTCCCTTACCTTACCCAGTATTTATATTACCTATAAGTACCAAGAAGCAGTTCTTGTTATAGTTTATTTACTGATAGAGAAGTAATATGATACCATTTAATTTCAATTTCAGCCAGAAAATTCCCCACTATTTTACTAAATTTTTAAAAGTTGTCTGTAAAATTACCTGGCCTTATATTTTTCAGAGGATTGGCCCTTGCCAATCAAAGTCCTGTGTGAACTTGTATAAGTCACTTAACCTGTGTGTGCCTGAACAAGTTGTGCTTTAAAAGGAGTTATGTTTGGGCACAGCCTTTGTCTTCAAGGAAGAAGTCACAAAAGGCAGCTACTTTGTAAGCCCTAATGGGCCCTGAAGACCACTATCAGAAATGCGATATTTAGCAGGTAACCTAATCTCATGTGTCATTTCTTATGTTGATTTTCCAAGACTGAAAAAACAAAGGCAATTCATTTATTTAGCTTCTTATGCAGTGTGACTAATGAGTGTGAGATTTAGAGTTCTTTGAGTACTTTGCCTCAACATACAAACCCTGGGTGATAATGTTGTTACCACTGATCCCTTAACTCTTAATTATGAGGAATAGTTTCCTTTAACAGGAATACTGGAGATAAGAAAGTATAAGAAAATATACTGAAAATATTAGATTCTTGGAGGTCACTCATATATTCCTGACTAGCATTGAAGTGCCTTTATTTTCAGCATAGAGCACAAATATTTAACCTGCTCCAATTTGATTTTCAATTTCTATGTGTTTTTCACCCGATCGTACTCCTAAAATTTAATAAGCCATCATAAGCAATTCTGTCTTTTGTTGTTGTGGTGGTTTACAAGATTAATTTAAGATGGGTTGGGCGCGAGTAATTGCCCTCTTCTCCTGTAAACAATTACAGTTCAAATAAGATAGGACAATCAAGTCCCTGCCACATTAGGTAGTGTGCTCAGCTGTGGAGACAGAGCAGTGATCACAGTCTATGCAGGAGGTGCTGAATAAGAGAGTTAACAGCTTCTGAAAACATGAAAATGTTTGGATACATTATATCACTTTCATTTTCATCTATAACATATGTATTATTTACCTTCTTTACCTGAAACTCATTAAGAATCTATCAGTGAACATCCTGTCTTCTTGCAAGTAGGAATCACTTAAACTGTTGATAGCTTAAAGAACACCTCGTGTAAGGAGTCTCATATTCTACTATATAGATTATTTTTCCATACGTAGCCAGGTAGAGGTTTCTCAGAGTTTTCTTGGACTACTAAATTCTGCAGTTTTGGACCCCTTCTGCTCTACCACAGGGAGCGAAGAAGAAAGTATTAAAAGTTCACTCTACCCTTCCATATACTTATCAAAAGCCTGTGTAAACATGTCTTAATGAATGTTGTTGAAAGCAATGTAAATAGTTGAAAATATAAATTTCTATTACAGTTTAAGAAAAGAAAACCGTAAGAATCATCACTAGACACTGTTAATATCTATTTGTATTCTTATACCTTTTCAATATATTTGAACAAATATATAGTTTCTGGCACTATTTTTATACTAGGATAAAGGAGTTACTATGTATATTATGTTTAGCTTTTAAGTCATTTAAAATAATTGTGAATGTTGATTTCTTTTCTTTCCTCTCCTCCACCACGAAAAATATTTTAGGTTACTCTTCTATGACATCACTTTAAAGGAACACTTATCCACTTATGGTCCCTGTAAAGTCATGAGATGGTCAGGGTGGTTTTCCATTATGCAAACTCTTCACCTGTCAGTTGTTTCCTCATTTTGTCGTGCTTTGTAAAAATAAAAAGAATGAACAAGAAGATATGAATATTGTGTAATTATTAAGGGACTTTGAATTTTAAGGGTGGAAAACTAATAGAGGACTTTGGTTTTTAGGCAGGGAGAATGGCCCAATAGTTTGAGAGACATTAATCAAGGAAACTTATGGTTAGCTGAAGAAAAATGTGGTTTAATAAAATCATTCCCTTAGCCTAGTCTCCTCTCAATAGCCTTCCCTTTATTAATATCCTTTGTTACTAATTTGAGGGCAATGTTTTCCATCCACCTTCTCACTTCAAGTCCATAACTCTGTAGAGGGTGATTCTTACTGGCTTAGGAGTTAAATACTTGCCAAATGGCATGAGCTGGATTTGAGCCCAGATCTGTCTAGTTTCAAAGCACGTGTTTATTCTACTTAGTTCTCTTTTTTAATTTTAAATTTTAAAGGCCTCAAATCCATTCTACTGGGGCAGAATATCTGTGCCTAGTTCACAAACCTAAAGCAAAAGTATAAGCTCATCTGAGACAATATTCTAGACTTTCTGACTACTGGAGAGCACCAGAGTTTGAGTTGTATTTAATGAAGTACTCCTTAGTGGCCATAAAGAACAAATAAAAACTGCTTTTTAAAAGATTTTTGGGGGCCGGCCCAGTGGCACACTGCTACAGTGCGCTGCTTGGGAAGCACGGCGGCGCTCCGGCCGAGGGTTCGGATCCCACATACAGACCGGCCGCTCACTGGCTGAGCAAGGAGCGGGGGCAACACCGAGGGTTGCGATCCCGTTGCCGGTCCCGGTCTGGTACGGGCGCGACACTGAGGGTTGTGATCCGTTGCCGGTCACGAAAAAAGACAATAAATAAATAAATAAATAAATAAATAAATAAATAAATAAATAAATAAAAGATTTTTGGTCGCTAAAGAAAAATAAATGGAAAAAAAATCAATAGTGAATTTAATGTAAAATAAAAAGTAGGGAAAACATGAACTACTTTATGGGTTTTTTGTTTGTTTGTTTTTTAAGACTTGCTTACTGCCCTTTATCCAATGATCCAGGTATGTCCTCAAGATTTTCTCTAAACAAGTAATCATTTGAAGTCTCTCTGATTCTCAATATTCCATTCATGAAAACATCAATCCTTCCCGTAATTAAGCTGTGCTACCTTATCAGCAAATAGAGATGTGTATATTTGACGTATGGAAATATATGTCAGAATATTATTTTCTATTCTTAAGGCACATAACATTAACAGAAACACATTGAACTTACAGAGAATATTCTCTATATTTTAAGCTATATTCAGACTACAGCTAAGGGAAAAAATAATGCTCCCAGTTTATAAACCATTTGTTCAAAATAAAAATCCACCAAGAGTTTCTTCTTCTGTATTATCTACAATTGCTTAAGCAAGACCTTGAAAGATTAGCTCCATTATCAGTCCTCCTCCTCCTCATAAATCATATCTTTGGAGAACACTTAACTGCAAAAGGCCAGAATGGTGAGATTACAACCTCACAGTTGGGACAAAGACAAATTGGATGTGGCATGTCATAGGCTGAGAGGGGCAAAGAGAGAGCTGACATTTTATCTGTTACAAATAATGCTTACTGGCAGTTCACCAAATTGTTCCCAGGATCTGGGAGTAGAGGGCAAAGATGCTTTTTCTGATTTATCTAAATATGTCCTGATGGGCTCGATCAACATCCAGGAACAATTTGGGAAGGTAAAGACACCTATCAGCCAGCACCCAAGAGGTCTGATGTTCACCATTTACTACCAGGACCAAGGTATCAGTCCAGCTTAGAAAGGAGCCCTGGGGAAGACTATGGGGGGAGGGGGGGGGAAAATCCTTGAGGAAAAGCAGTCTTTCCAAGTTTATTATAGAAAGTAAGCATTTCCAAAGAGACTAAGAAGAGACGGTGAGGTTAGTTGTGATTTCATCAGAGGCCAAAATCCAGGTTAGCGCTGGTTCCCCACTCAGCCCTATAGGCCTTCCTTGTTGTTCTAGCTTGGAGCCTCTTCAA